GAAATTGTGTCTGTGGTTTTTCGATTTCGTCATTTTCCAACATGGCCGCCATACATTTTCCACCGTCCAAGATCATTGTTCTCCTAGAACGAATCCAGGTGTTTTAAATAATTATACACACGCCAGCACATCAAGCTACACATTGACGAATCTTGTTCCGTTGCACAGGAGGCGATTTTCGAACAAAAATGTGTAGTCTGATGTGCCGTTATCCGTACAAGGATTGTATTTGACTGGGAATATTGAATACCAGAAAAATCCAAAACATTCAAGAAGTGGTCTGCATCAGGTAGGACACCAGCTACCCGGCCAAAGCGTCGGAGATGGGTTTGGGCTTTCCAACAAAAATTGTCAAGGACCCTGATCAGGTTCTACCAGAACCAAAAATTTTCCAATATGGCGAAACCAAGATGGCCGCCAAGTAAAAATTGACTTTACCGAATCTTCGCAACTATTGATGATATACGAATGGTTTCTTCTGAATTATATAAGGATACGACTTGACGCGATCATATTAACTACCCTGCTCCCTCCTTCCCAAATAAACCAAACGAAATAAAACACCAATGAAACCAAAGTAATTACCAACCGACAGACGAAAACTTTCCTACATTTAAAACCACAAGCCTCATATATGGCCCAGCGCAACATGCAATGTCCAAGTTGACCTGGTCACCGTAATAGACGGCCCGGTCAAAGGGTCAGAGACGCGTATATGGCTTTCTAACAAAATTTGTCAAGGACCCTGATCAGGATCAACAATTTTCCATGGCAAATTCAAGATGGCCGCCGTAAACAATTGACCAGGGCGTAGGGCGAAGCCCGAAGCCTCTGCACGCCACCTTACGTAGGTAGTATACGGGGACTAGATTTCACAATTATTCAAAACGTCAGGCATTCTTCCTGATGTAGTGGAAATAATATCTTATTTACTTATAAAACTACGGCGTTGTTGTATCTCGACCGTCTCTCCGTTAGATTCTTTTTTATTGGAAGCTATGCCAAAAAGAGAAGTATTTAGGGAAAAAATGCCAGACAAGCACTTGAAATTTCTGATCTCAAACTAGGGAATTTCTTGTACTATTAGTACCAGAGTAACGATAATTCTAAAGGCTACCCAGACCCTGACCAGGACCAACTTAAAAATGTTTTTTTTTTCATAAATTGACTCAAATAAGGGATCGAATCTGGAACCTCCCCATAGTACTAATCACTGTGCCACCGACAAGTATAAGTACACCCCGTAATCTGAAAGTGACCACGCGCCGCAGGCCGAGCCCGATCCCACCATATTATATAGGTTTTATATATATATTACCGTATATATATATATATATATATATAGAGGAAACTCCATTGTTCGGGTGTGCATAAAATATAGGCATAACGAATTTTAGACCTTTGCTATTACTGCATCTATATATATAACTGCAACGATATGTGTCAGACAGTAGACAACGCTACAACCATGTTTCATCAAACACCATGGACCTAAACACTGTTCACCTGTTTTATATCACACCGTAAACTTATATTTATTGAATAAATAGTGAGTATTTGTATTCATTATTTTCTACTAAACAGTATGAAGTGATAGTTTGCATATACTGGCAACACCGCTGTTTGTTCTGTTCGTTTTGAAATCTAATATTTTTCATTGGAGAGTTTGGATTTTTTAAATATTTTGTTTCAAAATTATTCTTACGAAAGTAGCTAAGGATTCTTTTATATATGCTATTTATTGTTTTCTAATAAAATTTTTAAGTCATGAATGATAAGTACTTGCGTAAATAATATTTAAATAAAAAAGTAATGAGGAAAAATGGATGACGCTTCTGACTTATGGTTTTGAACGCACTGTGACGTCCATTCATTCAGTCACGGTATTGTAAAATGTAGTTGAGAATTTTATTGTTTTATCTTGTAAAAGTGCGTGAATTTGTGTAAAATAAAACTGAAATAGTATTTTGTTTCGACTTGTGCAAGTAATCATAAATCAAGATGTCGACGTTCATGAGTTCGCGTAAAGAAGTATTAATTACTGGAAAATATAAGGTAGTGCGAAGAATTGGTGGAGGATCGTTCGGTGACATCTATTTGGCGATCAACATTGCAAATGGCGAGGTAAAACTTTATTTATTAACGTTGGAAATGCATAAAATACATTGTAAAAGGGTTGAGCATCAATGAGTACAAATTTAGTGGAGGGGGGTATGACGTATGTTCATAATAATGCGACAAAAATCTATTCAGTGCTATCGAATTAAATTATCTAGATCGTTAATTCTCGTATCTCGTTGATGTTATAACGTGTGCCAAAGATATGGTGCCATTTGGCAGGTACATCTGTCGATTTTCTAATCAACCTTGAGAATGGGCTCAGAGAGAGCTATCTATGTTACATAGCATGTATGACCATGTAAATGACCTAATTTACCACTTCCTTTAGCCTTTTATGTAGTTACAGAAGCAATTAATTGTTTTTAGTATTGTATATTTGAATTGGTAATTGTTTTAGGATTATGTATTAGGCATTTCCTTAATTATGATTTTACCCACATATATAAATATTTGTCATGGACAATTTGATAATACATATGCAAAGGTCTAGAGTAGTTACAAAAGGCATCAGACACAAAACATAAAATACCTCATCCCTGCTCTTGTAATGTAATTCTATAAAATTACTTTGTCTTCAGTTGTCAAAGTAAACATAGAAATATAAAAATTACATGACTAACATAACAACAACTTGTATGATACATATTTATGAATGGGACTTAGCCAGAGGAGGTAAAGACAATCGAAACTAAAAAAACTGTACAATCTTTTATATCAGTTTGTTTTGGATGAGTTCTAAATGGTGCATATCACAATAGATCAGTTGCTGATTACACTTCAACTGCTTGCTCAATCTTTAAAAAGAGTGATCCCATCTAGTTCCAATGGTCAAATTAACTAGTTTGATCTTCGAGTTACTTTAGTTTAGTAATGAAATGACTGAGATCTGAGATTCAGGAAAAAAGAAAATGTTTCAGTCTGTGAAGGACAAAACAAACAAAACATATGAACGAATTATTAATTCAAACTACTGTTTTGCTCTTTTTCCTTATGCTAATTTTGTTTGTCAAATAAAATTTTCCCATCGTGACACTTTACACTCCACTATGCATATTTGAGTTTGTTTTATATATGATATATAAAATTACAACTACAATTACATTTTTCTAATAACAGTTGCTTTAAATGCAGAGTTTAACATTTGATGTGTTAAATTGTGACGATTGGGACTCCATTTTGTGACAGGTGGGACAAGTTACATTTGAATACAAAGAATTTAAAAAAATACACTGTTTATATGTAGATCCATCATTTGTAAGCAAACTTTTTATAATTCTCATAATTACGACATTTTAACACATAAAAAAAGACAATTAAAAAGTGATAACATTTTTCCTGATGATTTTTAGTATCAGGAAATTCATGAAAAGTCTGTCTCCACTAGTTTTAACTATATATTCGAGCAAAACTTCTAGAATTTGATACATTTTGATAAGGTGCATTATCTTAAGGATGCAGCAGGATTTTTCAAATTTGTTAATGCATTTTACATGCGTGACTTTGATTTCAAGTCCTCATAGATGGTGTTTCAAGAAAAATAATAGAATTACTTTATCAGTTCTTTAATTCTATTTTTTTTTCATGTTAAAATGTCTTAATAAGACAAAAATTATAAGATATTTGCCTACTGATGGATCTCATATTACATTGTTTACAATGTAATTTTATTAATTCCGTGTATTCAATTGTAACTCGTCCCACTCGTCACAACTTAACATATTAATTTCCTTAAAATTTATCGAAGTTATTAATTAAGTGTATATGTAAAATAGAACTTTAACATTCAAGTTATCTCAAATGAAAAACTTAACAAAATAACAAAATATTAATAGTTTGTCTTGATCTTGGCAATGAAGCCATTAACTCAAACATGCGAGTGTCGTGAGTGTCCGTCATACTTAGAAAATTAAAAGTTTTGAGTATAAATAACGTCGTAAATTTATGTAAATAAATAGTTGCAGTTGAATTGCATATCTGGCTTCATGATATTTTCATTTTAAGTCTAATTAACCAATGGTTAGGGAGAAATTATTTCAAGTTCCAGAAAAAAGGAGTCGTAATGTCCCACCCCTCACTGTGGAATGGCCCTTAAGTAAATTTATTGAAAAATGCAAAAATATTGTTATGTTCTAAAGCACAACTAACCCAAGATCTATTAAAACCTACACAGTATTAAATAAAAACTGTGTTTTGCTGTTAATATGTCATTGATAGGCACAGCAGGCCCACGAATTTCCTTCACTCGTCATTGTCCCGATTATTATTCCAGTGGTGAATTTCCTATTTTATTAGTCTTTAATCAATGTTTACATGATTATGATTATTAGGGTAATCCATAGTAAACAACACGCAGATTACCAATTTGGACTGTTAAAAGTTCAACTTACCTATTTACGCCTAAATGCTAAATCATTGTGTAGGCGATAAAAAAAAAATCAGTGTAATGTTATCGAAGCTACATTATAGAAAGTCAAACAAAATAATGGTAATTTTCAAGTGGTCTGGACTGTATGGAAATATAATCTTGTTTTTTCATAATTCTGTTCAGTAAAATAGGGTTTCTAATTATTTCAAGTATAAATCAGGCAAATAAACTGTACATAACTAAAATATATGTCAATTGTAAGTCAATGGTCAAACCACATAAATGCAGGTATTAATTTCGTGAATATGCACTTCCAGTCACAATTCATCATTTTGTTATAATAATTAGTAGGACATGAGAGAAAAACATTTCTTTACCTAATTTAGTTATATAACATTTATAGAAATCTCATTTTTGTTGCCGTACGTAATGGTAGTAATTGCAATACAGAAATGGTAACTGCACAGAAGTAAGCTACGGTAGATTTTACGACGTTGTGTTGAGCAACACTGCCACTGTGACGTCACGTAAAATAGGCTGACGACATCTTTTTAGACTTCGCAATAAAATGATTTTCCCTAGATTTTCATAGTGACTCTACAATATATTGTGTTTTAGAACAATTGTAGACGCTAAATTAGAACAGTGCTGTGTTAGTTTCGCTGAATGCGATGGGTTTCTTATAATTTTTGTGACAACGAGTGATGAAGGCAAAAGAAAATGGCTACCTTCGAACGCATGTTGTTAGCCAGAAAACATGTAATTATAGCTGAAAAATACAACGTTATTCGCAAGATCGGCGGTGGAAGCTTTGGGGACATCTTTTTAGCTATAAATATCAACGATGGCGAGGTAAATAATGTTTCATATTTAGCAATTTCTATCGATCTTCATTCTTGCATGACAACCTCTTGTGTCAATTGCCCATGTATTTCGGGATTTTGTGCTCGAAAATGGCGGTCTTGGTGTATTCTCAACTTGATTATAACTTATCGCAAAGATATTGCTCCATTAACAGTAAGATATTGCTCGATTTGTGAACTTTAAGGATTTACGTAATTTGGCCCCTTTGAAAAAATCCCGAGACCCAATGGATCGAAACTTGTCAAAATTCTTCCTTTGTCATAGAAGGTTACTCAAAATTGTTTGGTTACTCGCTCAAACGCAAAACTCTTAAGTGCTCCGAAAAATCAAACTGCTGTGTCTTATCTATAAAAATTATACCTTTTTTTTATAGAAAGCTACCCCAAATGAAGAGCATAACCCGAATTCATCAGCCCATGTGGGCTGTTGAATATGTACATAGTCCAAAATTTATTGTAACCTTTTGTTTGTGGGTGAATTTAGGACAAAATCTACATAAAATTTTCCCCAAATGTTCAGAGAATATTGATTAGCTGTTTTCAGTATGTACACTGTTTGTGTGGCCGGGTTAAATTTAAAAAAACTGAATACTTGAAGTATCAAGTATCTCATCATCATTTTGTACATTACATTAACATTTTAATAGCCTCTCTATTAAAATATTGATGAATGTACAAAAATGCCTTAAAAGTCATTCTATTTCCAATTACAAATAGTTTTAAGTTTAAAACTTAGTCCTGTATTGCAATCACAGATATGGCACATATATTTTTGCAAAAATACAATGTAACTTGCCAAAACTCTGAACCATTACATGTTATTCTTCATTAACAACTAGAAGTCGTGAGTTGTACACCGAGTTGAAACACTTATGTATGTTGCAATTTTCCATCAATGGTGATTAGAGTATTCATTTATGTACGTTAAGGTGACATTATTTTATGTTATGTTTGATAATTATATTTAAACAATTTAACTAAGTGAGCCATTAGTCTAATACACTAAGGAGATAAATCAGTTAAAAATGTGAATAAAAGAATTAAATAACTTTTGACATATTGAGTTCTTAGGTTTTCGCAATTGTTACACATAGGAAATGAAACTATTTTTCTGGATTTAAATTGCGTATATTTGTTTTTTCAAACAAACCGATGTTTCGGGCCCTTTACAGGTCCCATGGTCACAGTTGACTGAAAACTTTGGACAGTTTTTTATATTATTATAACATTGAAATGTTGTCATAATGTTGTATATTTTTCAACTTAAACAAATAATAGTCAATAATTTAAAATAGAATTTAAAAAATCAACAACCTAACACGATGTACCACACAAATATTTCAGAACTTTAAAACCACTAAGCAATACAAATATCTAAATATATGTTGATATTATTGTAGGAATTTGCTAATCTTCTCAGACAGGAACAAATTCAGTAAAATAATATTTTAAAATGAACTTGGAAGATTTATAATTGCTTTTTTATTTTGCAATCAATATCTGGTCATTCGGAACATCTTTTTAAATGTGTGATGATGGGGCTCATCACAATCTGACCAAGTCTAAATCTTCTGCACATACTATTATGCTTATTCAAATGAGCTTAAGAGAATAATAAAAGCTTGTAGGATCACTACATGTTTAAGAATTAAGAATATTTTTTTTTGTGAAGTATTTGTTAGCAATTTAATTGTAATAGACATGTTTTTACAACATTAGCCTTTAATTTATTTGTAATCTGTTCATAATGACTAATAATCAAGTATATTGTCTTTCTAATATGTATGTATGGTCAAGTAGGTAGTAACATTTATTATGGAACAGCTGATTTGTATGTACAAGAGACTGAACTTCCATTAGTTACATTTATCATGGGACGACAAGAAGCAGGTGTATTCCAAATGTATGAATTAGGTGTTTTTGCAGTAAGCTGCTATTATAGAATGTCATTATTATGCATATTGGCATAAATAAACTGGCATGGAAATGCAATGAAGAATGGAATGGCAATGAAAACTGGAACATACTGCAATTTAATTATTACCAACTATCACACAATAGTTATTTGGCTCTGGTCTCGTAGTTCATCAGATCTCAGGCTCTGGCACTCATAGTATAGAGAATTCCTAGTTTGTGTCCAGGTGTGGGTGTCTGGCACATAAGTATACTTAATATAGTGCTGAGTGTTACACAAAAAGATGGAAATGTTAACCAGTTCAATAATAATAGCATGAAATTTTTATATCCATTTTTCTCACAGCTGGTCTTAATTTTGTAAAAGTGCATTAATATTATGGTATGGTTTTTATGCAGCTTGTTTCTTTGCTGAACTTCTCAATTAGCTAAAATAAGAAAAGGGAATTACACAAACTTGTTGCTAAATATTTGACCAACTATGGTTTAATCGAGTTTGAAATTACTTTAAGTTTACAAGCTCTTTCTTGCAGCTAAAAGGACCCAAAACACACTCTCAACCTGATAGAGGTTTCTTTTTTTATACTCCCATAGGAGTGTATTAAAAAGATATTACCAAGGTTTTCTTGATAATCTCGCTCATTTACAAAGAATTTAAGCAAAAATATAATATGGTCCATAAGTATGAGGTGATCCAAAAGTAATGATAACTGGTTATTTGTAATACTCAATAAAAATAAAACTGATTTTGCTTACTAGTATCCTCAGTCGATGAGTGTTATAAAATCTTTAAATAAATCTCCATTTCTGGAAGATACATTCATGTGAATACAAGCAGTCGAGGAGCTAACACGGAAATGGAGAACAACAAAGTAAGGGCTGTCATCAAGTACCTTTGTTTGAAAGAAATGTCTACCAAAGACATATTCGCCAATTTGATGGAAACATTGGGAGACTCTGCACCTCCATATTCTACAGTTGGACATTGGTGCAAAGAGTTTTTAACCTGGGATGAATATCCACCGAACATGAACATCGCGAAGGCCGCCCAACCACGTCCATCACCGAGAACAACATTAAAAAAAGTCCAAGATGTTGTTTTGACAGACCAAAGAGTGACCATAAGGCTTGAGAATTCTTAACAAAGAAAATGCAAATGAAAATGGCCTCCGCACGTTGGGTTGAGGCGCAACTCAACCGGTTGACATTTCAAGGGCTAGTCTTGGAAAGTTTCAAACTGACAAAGTTTTTTTGAGGCTATTTGTGACTATGGACGAAACATGGATCCATCACTTTATCCTGAAATGAAACAACAGTCGACGACTTGGAAGTGACCATTGATTGTTACCGACACCGAAGACATTTAAAGTGACAAGCTCTGCGGGAAAGGTTATGGCATCAATTTTTTGGGATGTTGAAGGAATTATTATATTTTATATTTGGAAAAGGGAACCACTATATTACTACGGGGTCTTACTACGCGGAGCAAATAAAAAGGTTGCGGGAGGCTATTAAAGAAAAAAGGCGGGGCAAACTGCGTGCAGGGGTGTTGTTTCACCAAGACAATGCACGCGCACACAAAGCTGAAGTTGCGATGACTACCATTCAAGAAACAGTGTTCGAACTTCTTGAACATCCGGCCTATTCTCCAGATCTAACTTCCTGTGACTTTTACCTTTTTCCTCGGCTCAAAGAACAGCTTAGGGGCAGGAAATTTAAAGATATAGTGAAATGATGTCCGTTGTTGAGGAATTCTTGGAGGGACAAGAAAAAGATTTTTTTTAAAGGTATTCAGGACCAAAAAAAAAATGGACTAAATGTATTGACGGTGGATGAAATTATGCTGATAAATAAAAATACTTTTAAAACATAACTATTGATTTCAATGCTCAGTATCATTACTTTTGACCCTGTCGTATGTATCGCTAGTTAAAACGTGGTAGGTCCTTTTTTGTTGCACCCTGTCTATGAACTCTTTAGCAGTCCATTATGGTTTAAGCGCAATTTGCTAGAGACTTGTGTTTAGCAGTGAACTGTTATAGACTTGGGGTGGCCTATGTCTAAGCTAGGTAGCCTAACAGTCGTTAATAATGATACAACGCACACACTCAACATAGCCCCACACTAGGGAGTCCCTGTGTCGCAGATACCATGGACACACATAGACAACCACAAATTACATCCAAACGCACGAGAGAAATAAAAGAATCGAACCTGGGATCTCTGCGTGGCAGTTCGACATGGTAACCGTTCGGCCACAGAGGCGGTTCAACATTTAGTTTATTTTTGGAAATCCTTAATGGATTAGGTGCAGAAGTCTAAATAGTGAATTCCTTCTTCATGACCTCTACATTATATATTGTATGCCATAATCTGTTGGCTGTTATTTTAATTTAGTCATGCATTAACCGTAATTTTATTGTCAACAGGAGGTAGCAGTCAAAGTAGAATCTATAAAGGCGCGACATCCGCAGCTTCTCTATGAGAGCAGAGTGTATAAGATGCTCCAAGGGGGCATCGGCATACCACACATAAGGTAAGACGTCTCATACCATTCATTGATTATTTTTTGTACATTTTGCACCGACATCAAAAAAGGAAGAGGTTCTCAATTCGACTGTATTTTTTGCGTGAATGTTATGCGATTACTCCGACATTTGAAAATCGCCTACGATTATACTTTATTTTTTTTTATTGGAAAAGGGGTACCTCGGTAGTGGTCCCAGTCAAATCTCAAGAATATACTCCATCTCTAAGGGTCGTATTCTAGAACTCTACTCAATGCTCAAGTCAGGATTGCACTGGAAACACAAGCACTGGAAATACGACCGAGTGCTTTAAACCATACTCAAATCCTGACTTTAGCATTGAGTAGAGTTCTAGAATACGACCCTAAGGGTGGCAAGTTAGGAGATGAATCCGGATTATTAGATGTCACCCACTTTCCATTAACCAATTTCAATAAAACTTGGCATATAGATGTAATTCCACAAACTTTGAGGCCGGTTTTTTTCAGCACCACAACAAAAGTCATCGGCTAATTCCTGATCTAGTTGGTAATCATATGAGCTGTTCGCTAAATTCTTATTTTTATACAGTACATGCCTGACACATCTAAATCACATATCACATTAAGGAAATTTGTTCTTATTACTAATAAATTTCGTTTAAGTATTCTGTGTTATGAATATGAATAAATAAATTTAAAAAAGTACGGCATCAATTATGTTGTAATCGTAACACTCGAAACGATAAGTTGCACAATGTTTTATATCGCTATTACACGCAGAGGTAAATTTGTACACGCAGAGTACATATTAGAATCCATAATCGTACTTTTTCAATTACTGTTCGATTTCACTCTTCTAAATACAAAATAGAAGTCAGGGTGAGCAGCCATAAGGCTGCCTTACCACCAGAGATGGGCGACGTAGCGAGGCGGTGTGCGAGGAAAAAATCCACCAATACGATTACTTCACTTTCCTAGCCTCACTTAGCGCAGCTTCGGTGGAAAAGGATTAGCGGAGCTAAGTATTTGTACATACAAAATAGCGAGAAATGTGTGCGAGGGATGCGGCCGAAATGTGTACAAAACAGTGTAGGAAACTACGAGCTACTGAAAGTATGACACTGACTGACACGTACACATCTCCACCGCTCACCCCACCACACCGTACCCCGTCGGCGCATAGCTGAAAAGAGTGTCACTAGCTACCTCGCACAGCTTTGGTGGAAAACATCACACCGTTCCAAAGCGCCGCTGTACATCCTCGCACTGCCTTGCTACCTCGCACATCTCTGGTGGAAAGGCAACCTAAGCCGGGTACTCACTAGCGAGCTGTAACTGTAACGTGACAGGTACAGTTACGAGGTTCTAGTGTATATGCATGAAACAGTCTTCAATCAGACGGCTCACTGTGAATAGCACGTGTTCCGCTTGCGGCACGTACAGCTATGATTTCTGGTAATACATACAACGTGTACAGCTCGCTCGTGAGTACCCGGCTTTGACTTTAACGTAAGGAGCGTGGAATGAGCTTCATGCTCAACTCAACAACAAACAAGTCTCAACAAGTTCAAACTTGAGAAAAAAAACTAGCTTCGAGTAGAATTTCTAGTAATCGATCTTTCAACGGTACAGCAATCGACCGTTGATTTTATTGCTTCAACTTCCGCACCGCATTACGTACAAATAATAATCTTAGATACGAAAGATTTTTCACTTGAAAAAATATTACTATTACAGATTTCGCTAATATCGTATTTTTTAATATGTTTTGATGATAATTTTGACAATTTCTTAAGGTCCTAAATTAACCAAACATAAATTCACAAAAATCAGTTGCTCTTAAATACTTGGCGGTCACTTGAGAGATGTATTATTGTATAAAAACGTTTAGAATATCCACAAGAGATACAATAAAACCTTATGCATCTATAGCGCTTATACCAGATAGATATAAGGGCCACACCTAACGACCCACTAACATTGTAATGTTGTGGTCCAAACTAAGCAATAAATATTATTTGTTGATTCAATTTGTATAGATTACCCTTGAATCTTCCCACGATAAAAAAGCGGTTGTCTGGCACGTATCGCGCTAAGCTATGCGGGCAGTTTAAATATAAAAATGTCATATGCAAATTGCGATTCCATAACGTGCAGTTTCGACTATTGTATAATGTAACTCGTTTCTATATTAACACTTTCTCTTACAAGAAACATTAGCGTTAACCAGTGTATATTTAAAATATTTGATCATCAAATTCGATATTTTTGCCTTGCTCAAAATTTTTGGTGGCAATACTACCATCAGAACGAAAAAGGGAACAAGTAACATTTTTATCAAAATTGAGGTACATACATAATTGGGATCTGAAAATAAAGGTCAATCTAACTTTTTTTTCTGGAAATATATCTTAATAATTGTTAAATATCCAGCAAGCTTAAAGGGCATAACTGACTTCAATAATTAGGTTTTTTGCTATAAAAAGTTATATTTGACGTTTATTACGTTAAAACACTAATACCCAAGAATTATACTTAGTAATGTAAGGAAGTGTACCCCTATTATTATGTTGTACAATTACAATAATAATAACAAAGAAGGATGTCAATTCCCGTTTGTAAACATAACCTTACTATCTTTGCAACTTTTAATTTCGCTGCCGGGAGACAAAATATTAAATATAACACAGCTATGGAATACAACAAAATATCAAATATAACACAGCTATGGAATACAGAAAGTGCTTTGTTCATACCTACGAGAATGGTTCAATAAATAACCCAAACAAGATCTTTGTTCATATTAAGTGGTGTCGTGAAGTAAAAGTGAGATACCTACTTCAAAGTTTACACTATTTATTGTTGTGAAGATCACTTTGAAGTAAGTTGATAACTTGTATAAAACAATACTTTGTGTTTCTTTTCACTTTTAGTATTACTGTGAAATTTCCGAGGTAATAATATTCTATTAGTTTTGTAGCCGACCGGAGATTTGGTGGACTGTTTCAAAGTGAAAATTATGAAATATGAGCAAAACTCTAACGCACAGTCAAGCTGCGCAATATCAGATATATATTAAATGAGGTAGGAATTGAACAGTTTGATTTGTATGATTGTAAATTTACCTATTGTGTACTATATAAATATAATAATATGTTTTCAGCATCCAAGTGAATCAAAAGACAGGGAATTACAAAAACTGATATTCCAACCTAGTACCAGCATAACAGCAAAAAAAGAAAACATGGAATTTGTGTAGTCCCCAATACGTCTCCGATTTGCACATTACTTGTAAAGTTTATTGAGTTATATCATTTTCTTGTTCTATGATGCATTCTTATAACAAAAATCTTGTTGGTTGCGTTAAGAAGTATCCAATCTATTTTTGTACATACACGCTGCAAAACAGTGTGAAGTAAAAATGGTTGACAAGAGTACAAATTATAGAATAAGGGAAACAACAAGTGCTAGGACGACAGTTGAAATACTTTCTTCTCAAGAAGTTTCTTCAACAGCTACTCCTTCTCTGTTTGATTCTACATCCGAAATGGAAGAATGAACTTTACTATGGACAAGGCAAAAACAGTGTTAAAAGTAGAAAACATATTGTTAGAAAGATATTCAGAAAACCTATGATGTATCTATGATTGTCTAAACAATACTAGTTCAAAACAAATTGAATCAGTATAAAGGATAATTGATCAACTTGAATTTTCTGACTAAACTTGCAATAAGGATTTTGATCAGTATGGAAAATTTAGGTAATTTAAAAAAAAATCTAATTTGCACTTCTCATTCAAAAGAAATTAAAAAACCTGCCACTTGTAGTTAAAGTAAGTCATTTAAATGTTGAAATTTTCACTGCATAAACAACACTCAACTACAAATATGTGCCATATTTGCATGCGATTTTTCTTTAATAAAGAGTGACTGAAATGACTGAATTCTTAATAAATAATAATTCTAATATCAGCACATTTGTCTTGATGTGGATTAATGTTATGATTATGAAATTAAAATCAATGCACACCTTTTTGCCAAAGAGAACTTGCTTGCCATTTTTTTAACTGCTGTGTTTTGCCGGCAACAGTTTTATAAGAATAATATAAAAATTATGGAGATCATCATCACACGCAAAATAGGCGCCTTGACGTCGAGTTGCGGACACCAGCCCGTTACACCAAGTACCAAGTATGGAGATCATCGCCAGTGTCAGTTTCATAATTCAAAAATCTTATTTAAATTCTAATAGTATGTGAAATTTATCAATACCACTCAATTTTTCTCTTACATGACAGTTCTTTTTTTATTAAATGACAGCTTTCTAATGTCGAATATATAAAGATGGTACCAACACTAAAGAGTGTTGTTGGTTTAACAGTCGAAAGGTAAAAAAGTGTGATTGAAGTAAATTGTTATTTAGATCATGGAGGAAATAAAATACTTATTATTTATTAATACTTTTATTTCTCACTTATAGCAAATAGCACTTGAAATTGTCAGAATTGACATAAGATAACTACTCACTCACGAGATACATTTAACCAGTGTTCCCCGTTGGTCAAACTGATCTGGCCAATGGGATCTTTTAATAACGAATCAGTAGTAATGTTTAATCAATTTTATGAAATCAATAACGCATTTGGTCACATTTATAATATTTATTTTAATATAGGATCACTACCATAGATATTTCTAATCGAATTACGCAGAAGCTGTATAAAGTTTTCATTTCACTATAGCTTTCATCTTACTTGATAGCCTTTTTAAACTGAGTTATAAATATTTTTACATTACATTTTTACATTGCATTTTAAATTTTTACATTATAAGTATCTCTCATCTCAGCGTGCCTCTTGGCATAGGCCTCATCCAGACCTTTCCAGTGCGCTCTATCAAGAGCTACTCTTCTTCAACATAGTGCTGCAGTTAGCTTCAGCTCATCCTCCCATCTATGTTGTTGACACCCTCTATTACTTTTTCTATCACGGGAGTACCAAGTGGCTTACTTAGTGGCGTACTTTCCTCCATTTTTTCGGCCCACGCAACAGTTATTTAGTAGTAGTTTTGCGATAAATACCCCAAAGTTTTAAATCTACATAGATTTTGCAAAATTTGAACGATTTTTGCTCCTATCGAGTTCTTAGGTTTTTACTCTTCTTATTTCTTTTACATTGAGCTTATTTTAGGTAAATGTATTCCATAATCATTACATTTTTTACTTTTGGCAATTTACCAGATTCAGCTTTTATAAAGTTCATGATTTCGTCGGTCATATAACTGCACTAAATAAAACAAGAAGAAAGAAGTTTTTCTTTCTTCTTCTTCTTCGTGCGAAAATAGTAGAACGATAAAACCCGAATACTTTCATCATCATGTAGTGCCTCTCCACTACTGGAGGCTGGCCGTCTGCTTGGAGAACTCTTCCCTGTCCTGAGCCAAACGAAACAGATGTTTCACGTTGGCAACATTCGTCCATTCCCGGATGTTGTGACTTCTTCCTTCTTCCAGTACGTCCTTTTCCCTCGATCTTGCCCATCATTATTGGTTGGAGAAGTCGGTACTTTTCATGCCGTAGAACGTGTCCAAGATACGCAACTTTCCTTTTTTTGACGGTCTGCAAGAGTTCTCGGTCCCTCCCAACGCGCTGAAGAACTGTCACAGTGGGAACTTCCTGGGTCCAGCTAATGCGTAGCATTCTATATACTTCAAAGATACTTTATACTCAATACTTTAAAGAAATACAAGAGAACAAAAAGTAACGAAATACATCCATAGGTTAGAATTTCGTTTTTGACGTTTTGAGAGATGTTAATTTCGTTTTTTAAATATTCCCTGCCGCAAAGGTTAACATTTATAGAGCCATTGATGACGTCACCAAATAAATAACTTGCAAAATTTTCAAAAATTCATAACAAGGGAAATAAGCTACGAAATTATAAAAAATTCAAATTAGTGTCATAAAATAGTTATATTTTATATTTTCGAAAAAAAAAATGTATAGATAAAAAATTGTGAACAATGCCTATTGCGGCCTATTAGTTTATATTTGTAATGAGTAATAAGTCATATATTTAAATTAGTTATGGCCGTTGACATGCAGTTAGCTTAGCAGAAAACAAATTTTCTGCTAAGTTACAAGAAAAAATTAAGGTATTTTTAAAAACGGCTGATAAAATACAATGAAAGTTTCTGTATAATATATTTACATAATACAAATACACGCTATTTATATTACATAAACTACTTAATATCAATGTATGTTTTAATTATTCTTTTTACCAGGAAAACCTATACAATATTTAGACATTTATCTACGAATTTGAAATATGCTGCTTGTGCCTTTCTTTCTTCCGAAGACAAATTATATCATCACCAGACATCAAGTTATCAGGGTTACAAATTGTAACCAGAATTTTTTCACACTTTTATGTTATCTCATAGATTGGCCAATATGTTTTATTATATATTATGTATTTTGAAGATTGATTTACATCGCACATGACACCAAATACTGTCGTAACTCTAAATTGTAGAATTGCGAAAATACGATTTGACCGTAACATATTTTATATTCCGTTTATAAATTGATAACTTAAATATTATGTATTATGTTAAATATTATAAATAAAAAATATAATCACATTATTCGCTATATTCTTTCGCGTCTTTTCGCAATTCCACGATTTTGAGTTCGACAATATTTGGTTTTATGTGCCACATATGCGAAGAATTAATAATAATCCAACAATTCGATTTAAGAAAGTTATTTTTTCAATTCTTAATTTTAGCTTACTTCTTATTTAATTTAAATATTTTACCGTTCTGAATTCCCCTAATACAATTAATATAAACTAGTTAATTAATAAAACGAGGCATTTCGAGAATGAGTCTTATTAAGAATAAGTCTTAATTAACTAGAATAGGGTATTTCCCGAATAAAGCATTGCACTGATTCAAACGTGAACCGGGGACACGACTTGTTGTTTTATATTATATATTACATAATATATATTTTCTATATTTAATCTTAATAAACGTAAACGTCCATAACTTATTAAAATAAATTCGATTTTTAGTTGAGCTGCAAACAGGGCGGACGCAGGTGCAGGTGTTCATGGATCACAACGCTTGCAAATCCAGTTTGCATTTCCTGTCGGTTCTCAGAACTACCACTGTCAGTGTTATTATGAAGGTTCTGTTTTCTTATTTAGTGTAACATCGCGAAATCTTAAAATAAATCTATTAAATTTATTTACAAATCGATGTGATTTGTTTGTTCCAGACATTTATTGGTGGACACGTATTGTTTGAAAAAAAAAGTCCATGTAGGTTTACAATTAAGCAGACCCAGTTTCACAGACGCTCCGACCACAAGTGCGGTTTGAATGACCTTCCGTCCCGAGACCTCGATCGATAAACATTGCCGCTTGTTTACGTACACAAGTATTTCATATGCGCTATCCAACTACGCAGTGGAAACCTTGCTTCGAATATTTGAACATTTCTAGACTTATCTTCCAAAGAATAGGTCTTGCGTGCGCTATGTGCAGATAGTCACGTATTTTATGTATATACATTAACATATTATAAAACTATAAACCTGTTTGTCGACATGTCTTTCGATTAGGAGTTGTTTATCACAACTTCATTATCTGTTTATTTTGATCTATGGCATTGTTATTTCATTGTTGGATGGGTCAAACAGTACAGTAAAGGCAAACTTAAATGGTGTGGACAAAATTGGGATCCCGAGGTAGAATGCCGAAATACACTACACTGGCTGCCTTGTATTGATAAAAAAGTCCATTATAGAATAATAGCTGGCGATAAAAGGGCTTCAAAGTTCAGCGTACACACCCTCCGATTGGAAAAACTCTTTTAATTTTTAAGTTCGTAAGATTGTATCATTGATTATTTCCATGGACCTTCACCGCGTCGTTTTAGTGCCTGGCCTTAATCCACATTTAGCATCTATTACAAGGTTCTACGAAAACTAGCGGTACATTTGGCTAGTGAAAATAATGTTCAAATAAACCATAGACAACGACATTTTAACGTTTCAGGCTGTTTATTTTAGTACATTCAAATAAATTTGTATTAATTTAATGGTGCGAATTGTTCTATCTTTTCTCTTCAAACTTGTGACAGTTTGACGAGTTCTTTACATTCTTTTATTTAAAATAATATGTTGTTTTTGCATCTATAAAATAGATGTTCCAAAATGACAAATTGTAATAAATCGTTTTTTACAGTAAAATTGTTTATTTTTGTATTAGCATGTCTTTGAATTTTTAGACCTACTTAGTAATTAACTACTTATGTATATGCACTTAAAAGTGGTCATGTTAAAGTCCTGTTTCACTTTTTATGTCGGCTGTATTTATTTTTTTACGGTAAAACCCTTCGACAGTGACAGCGTCGCTCAAATATCTTGCCTACCGATGAGTTGGCGTTAATGCACTTTTTAGGATTCTTCCCGCGCAACATCGACGTACTTTCTATATTACAGTGTACCATACCATAGTTAATTTTAATTTTAAGGAAAGGTCGGACGTATTTAAATTTGATCAGGTGTAAAATGTGTTGAAGCATTTCGTGCTACCATTCAAAAAGCTTGCTTGAGCGTTCCTCTGATCAGTGTAATTGAGACCTTCAATGTCGCGTTGTTTCTCAAACGGCTTTGTACATGCAATAATTTAATTTGTGTGGTGTTAATGTTTGCATGAATCCACAGTTGACATGAAAACGCTGCCATGCTTCAGCCTCAATGCAAACAATAATACCTCATGGATTCCGCATAAACGTGAGCCTTATCAAGTTTGATATTTTTTACTTATTCCTCTGTTGTTTGTGGAAGTTCATAAGATCCCATTTTCCATCAATCGGATTCGCGCGCATCACATTCACAACATCACAAATATGATGTATTAGGAAATGAGCACGCGCACCAAACGTTTTATGAAAACGGAGCTTTTTGAGCAATTCTGTCAAAGAGTAGGGTTACCGTCTATCCGGATTTTTCGGCTTCGGGTAATAATTTTTAGAATAAAAAGTAAAATATCCACCTCTCAATTACTGCCTCCGTGGCCGAACGGTTACCATGCCGGACTGCCACGCAGAGGTTCCAGGCTCGATTTCCGGGACGAGAGAAATATTTGTATGGCCTACATTTATTTCTCTCGTTAGTTTGGTTGTAATTTGTGAGTGTCCATGGCACCCGCGACACGGGGTTTCCCTAGTGCGGAGCTATGTTGAGTGTGTGTGTTATCAATTCTGCATACTCTCACGTGCAGCGGTGGATAATATCAGGATTATAGCAACTAACCAAAAATATGAACGAAACAATACCTCCAATGAACACGACGCCAACTTTTTTTTTTCATTTTCTGTTGTTTTTGTAAACAGCCATAAGTTATTTACTAAACCTTATGCTCCTCAAATTCTGTGAAAAAAGTTTAAAAAAAACTAAATGCGAAAAAAAGGAAAAAGAAATTTGTGAAAAAGAATAAAGAAACAAAATAAAACCAGAACAGGTCCAAAAATTAAGTTGGCGTAGTGTTTATTGGTGGTATCGAAAAGATCCTTGTTTCGCCGCGCGGCTTCATCCCCTAATTCGCTTTTATATCTACGTACATGTATCGCGCCAACACGGCGGTTTCGTGGTCTTTTTTTTAGAAGAGTGTGATGAGGAATAGTAGGAACAGTAGTCATAGAAGCACTTAGTAATAATATCGATAAATTGCAATAAAACTCAATAAAAGTTTTGTTGCCGCGCGCATCTCTGATTTTTTATTTTGTTATTAAAGAGTGCGGAATTTCTTGCAAATGTCAGGTTTTTGTCCGGACTATATAAATTTCGGAATGGTAACCCCAAACCAGGAGGCTTATTTACTTCACATTGTCGTGGACAGTGTTTCGGGTTGTAATAAATTTTTAAATGTGTTTGTCGTTGTTGCAGATGGTACGGCTACGAGAAGGACCACAACATCCTGGTGATGGACCTGCTGGGTCCGTCACTGGAGGACCTTTTCAACTTTTGCACTCGTCAGTTCACTATCAAGACTGTTCTCATGCTGGCAGGTCAGTATATTCTTCGAGAGATCTATTTATATTCTGAGACCTTATCAAATTCAGAAGATAAAATCAAACCCAAATCACGCATAATGGGTCCTAAATCACTAACCAGAACAGCCGTTTCATAAATTCTGGGCGATGTGGGAACAACAAATTTTTACTTTATTTTGCGATTGAAGACGGGACCATAATAAGGATAATGCTTTGTGCACTGTACTATTTTCAGACCTTACATGTACAACAAGACATACCTGTAATATTCTTTTTCTAGATCCAACATGTTGTTTTTGTAGATCCGATTGTACACCTGTCATTCCTTTCATAACTATTATTCTCTAACCGCCTCCGTGGTCGAACGGTTACCATGCTGGTCTATTACGCAGAAGTCCCGGGTTCGATTCCGGGGCAGGGAGAAATATTTGTATGGCCTACATTTACTTCTCTCGTGAGTTTGGTTTTAATTTTTGGATGTCAATGTGTGTGTTCATGGCTCCCCGTCGTAGACCCCCGAGTAGACAATGCATGCCAGTGGCTATCCGTCGGGCTACTATTCTACTGCTATTGCTTGTTTTGGCATTCTGCTCTTCAATGGCGACTCGACGACATATCGATGGAGTCTACTACAAAAAAAAACATTAATTTGAAGACTAAATTGCTGATTAAATGAGATACATATTAAGAGGTGCATAGCAATTTTCCTGGTAGTTTTAGTAAGGCAACATTCATTGTCATTCAATCATTGTCTTAATTGTTAGAAAATTTAATAACAGTTTGTTTACTTATACATACGTTGTTCTATGAAGGCACTCTACCCAAAAAACCCTTAGGGTGCGTACAGATTTGGCGAATGCGCCGTAAACGCGCCTTTTTGCGAAAGGCTCTCGAGCTGCTCGCATGCATTACATAGTGCGATCTGTGTAGTGCGCCGCTTTCGCGCCACATATATTAACATGTATTTACAGCACGCATGTAGCGCGCGTGCAGTTCGCGTGCAGCGCGGTCGCGGCGAATTCGCCAGATCTATACGCACTCTTAAGGGTTTTTGGGTTATGTGCCTTCATATGGCAACGTATGTGTAGGGGGACAAACTGCTATTACATTTTCTAAGTGGTTCACGAGTCTTTCACTTGTGTGTTTCGCTTGCTTGCGTCGACTGGGTACACGGCGTAGAAATCTGCCTTCCGCGCAAAGGCGTTGAGCAGTCTTCCGCTTGGTTTTGATTTGGTTGTAGTGGACGCGTGGGTGCTGCTGTTCTGTGATAGGCCAGTGGTGCTGTCCTCCACAAACGTTCCCTGTTGCTTGCGTGGAAATACCAAGCTTGCTAGATATCAAACTCATGCAGCCCAAAGAAATCCAACGCACAGCAAGCGGCCGGCGCAAGCGAGCGACTCGTGAATAGTTCTACCTGCGCGTACGCGACAGATCTTTTCGTATGCGCGAAGCGATTCACGCAAACAAGCGAAAAACGCAATTGAAAGACTCGTGACCCTGGCATTAAATAACGTGAACCGGGCATAAGTAGTGTGACTTATAATAATGTTAAATCATGCGTCCTAGAGACACACGGTATCCCAAACTATTTTGGAACTGTATATATATAGTCGCACAGCTGTGTTTTCATCCACCATTGATAAGAAAATTTAAATTTATATGAAAAAAAAAAAAACATTACCCAACTCGTTGGTTAGGGACAGTGTTTTTAGGACTCGTGAAAGAGGATGAAAGAAGGAGCATCACAGTCATGTCCCTGTGTTTTAGGTGGCTGTTAAATTCACCAATTCAATTTTTTGGAACCCTACCCAGTCAAGCAGAGTTGGCTGACATCGTGACAAGACATTAAATAATCAAAATTTCAGTCAATTAGTTCAAAACAAAGCCTATGTCTCGTGAACGACATATTTTTTATATGAGTTTTGATGCGATTAGTTGCGTTGTCACCAGATCAAATGCTGGGTCGCGTGGAGTTCATCCATTGCAAGTGCTTCATCCATCGTGACATCAAGCCGGACAATTTCCTGATGGGCATCGGGCGACACTGCAACAAGCTCTACATGATCGACTTCGGTCTCGCTAAGAAGTTCCGCGACCTGCGCACGCGCGCTCACATCTCGTATCGCGAGGACAAGAACCTTACTGGTGAGCGGTCTTTCATATTTCATTTATTTTTTATGTACCCCAAAGTATTAACCCATTCATGTACAGTAACGGCAGACACCTTAAAATTAAAGTATCAGAATATGATAGTACGGGGTACTCAGTTTCGCTATATGGATCTCAAAAAAGCAACTACGGTAATGCGATATCCGAGTGATTCTTGTGTAGTTGCTGCCTACTGCTTCTTCTTAGAGAAGTATCAACCATAGTACTGACAAAATTGTTTACTTTGAACATTTTATATTGAATCAATATAAACACTATGGCAAGATAAGTAGCGATATTTTTGTGTGCGGTACTATTTAAATACTGTCCATGAAAGGATTAATAAGTCCATTTCTTCTCGGCCCTATATAAGTTATTTTATTTTTAACCGACTTAAAAAAAAATATTCTCAATTCGACTGTATTTTTTTATGCGTGTATGATACGCGATTACGATTGATGAATCTTTTTTTAATGGAAAGAGGGTACCTCAGTATTGGTCCTATTTAAATTTGAAGAAAATATTCCACCTCCTAAAGGTGGCAAACTACGGGATGAATCCGGTTTCGCACACTTTGCGGTAACCCATTTTAATTAAACTTGACAAATAGATATAAATTTATAAATTTAATAATAGAATAATTATAAATTTTTTTTGAATTGATATTCAATTATTTTTTGTGAAATTACTCCACTAGTTTATTGTAATTATTAATACAAAAATCGAACACTCAGAAAAAATTCCTTCGATCCGGTCGGATTCGCACCGACGTCTTCTTGCATACCGTGCCAGACGTATATTAGTTGGTATAGCGTGTACTATAGTGCGCGCGGAACTAGCTGGCCGCGCCTTAGGTAGGGACAGGGGTGAGGGGGCGGGTTGCTTGCTGCTCGCAACGCACATGAGATTAGACAGTGACGACCAATCTCGAGATATCGTGAACAATAATTGTTCAGTTATTGAAAAGAAAAAATTAAAGCCAATTGAACTTTTACAAGTTTATATTATACCTATCTAATTAATTGCAATGTACAGTCGGCAGCACATCAGGCCGCCACAAACTGTCAGATTTCCTCAATTGATTTTCAACTTAAAGTCCAGGGAATAGAGTATAAAATTGATTGGATAAATTTGACATTTATGTATTGATGGACTTGCTGTTGTCCGTACATTGCAATTAAAAGTAAAATAAACCAAAAACAAATTAAATGAAATTCTTCCGACATATTTGAATCATTTATGAAATTATTATTAATTAATTAGTGTAACTAACACGACTTTGTATTTATAGATATGAAATTACTCTGACATATTATCCTCTGAATCACTTGATTCTGAATTGTCTGAACTTGAGTCAGAATCATCTTGTAAGTTTATAATGAATTCGTCCATCACAGTATCATATCTCATATCATGATTCCAGTATTCTTGTTCGTTTTTTTGTACGTGGTCGTCGCATTTTTGCCATTGTTCGGCAGAAAATTCAGAAAATAGTCTTGTTAGTATTGTAATTTTCTCGTCCAATGTAGCATTAATGTGATCTCTGGCCAGGCAATTTTTTATATTTGCCCACACAAGCTCGATTGGGTTGAGATCTGGATGATATGGAGGTAGTCTTAGAACAGTATGACCTGCACCTTTCAGAAGTTCATCAATCGTGTATATTTTTTCTGATTGGGTCGTATTAATCAAGCCCAAGAGTTCAGCTTTGACCATCGTGGGAGAAAAGGGCACGTTATGATTTTGCAACCAATTCTGCATATTAATTTTCATACAGGACATAGTCGGTTTCTTCTCAACTTGCACACAGTGGTAAGCTGCATTGTCCATAACTATGACTGAGTTAGGTGGAAGTTTAGGTATTAACTTTCGATCAACCCAGTTGTAAAAATTTGTAGAGTTCATGTCTCCATGATAGTCTCCTGTTTTTGAATCTGATTTAAAAATTAGCAGAGCATCGTCAACTAACCCGTTCCGACTACCAGCGTGAACTATTATTAAACGCCTTCCTTTGCCTATATGTGCATAAACACCAGGCTCCGACGAAGATTGCCAACATTTTTGGACATTATGACTTTGGTTAACGTAAGTTTCGTCCAAAAAGAATATATTTCGTTTGTCTTCTCTGAATTTTCTTATGGCCCTCAAATATTTCACTCGCCATTCAACAATGTTTGGTCTCTCTAATAAAAGGGATCTCTTCGATTTACATTTTTTAAATGAATATCCCAGTTTGTGCAAAAGTTCTCTTAAATAAGTTAATCCGCAATCTAAAATATTATCCTCTTTTAACACAGCATTTAGTTTTCGTAGACTTGGATTTGTTTTCTGTACCGTATAAAACTGATTTATTTTTCTTCTTATCACTCCTAAATCAAAATCATCAACATGTATTTTCTTTTTTATCTCTTTTGGCCTTCGTGGAGAACTAAATTTTGCTTCCCCTGTATTTTGCAAGGATGTTTTACTTTGAGCAATCACTCTCCTTACACTTCGTTCTGATATCCCGGTTGCTTCTGCCACTAATTTATGAATATTCGCATCAGTTTTATATTCTAAACTATTGACATCGGCTTTCCGTTTTTTAAAAAACGTATGCACTTTAAATATTATTTCCTTAGATTGTCTTTTTATCGGCGGACTCATCTTGACATTGCAATCTCTTGTGCGTTTTGTCTAAACTAGCCAGAACTGTCAACGTGTGTTGCCGCCGCGAAGTCCGGCGCCGAACTGAGTATTCTGAGTAATGACACCAAGTGCCCCCGCCTCCCCGTCCCACCGCTCACATACCTAAGGCGCGGCCAGCTAGTTCCGCGCGCACTATAGTGAAGTAATTTCACAAAAAATAATTGAATATCAATTCAATAAAAATTTATAATTCAGTGAATAGCGACATCTCTCACCAGGACTAGTAGCTGTAAAGGTACTAACTGGGTGATAAATCTTTCATAGATTTCTCATAGATGGCGCTACGACTAAAGAGTCGTTGAAAAACCAAATACAAAGACACGACCCAAGTAAGTAGAAAAATTCATTGGGTCCGTTGGTTCGTTCCGTGGCTTAGTTGGTATAGCGTCTGGCACGTTATGCTAGAAGACGTCGGTTCGAATCCGACAGGATCGAAGGAATTTTTTCTGAGTGTTCGATCTTTGTATTAATGATTACAATAAAATAGATGTAATTCCACGAACTTTTGAGGACGGCCTTTTTATGTAAAAATATTATTTATACTCGCGTAAACTGCTTCAAATTGGAATATGATATGGTTTTTTTGAGCTTTAATAGCGTCGTAGTACCTACTCGCTTTAGTTGCAATAGAGTTTCTGTCGCCAAGCAGTTATGCGAGCGTTGCTATTACTGCGCTGCGTGAAATTACATGCACATGCGACTTATCAACTTATGTCTCAGGGTAACTGGCGCAGTGGCAGTGCCCTTTGAGCGGTACTGCAGCTGTTATGGACAGGCGTGACGCTTACCACCAGGCGCACGACTTGTTCGAACCGTCACTTTAGTATCATAAAATCTCTCACTGAGGTGTTGTGGAACAGGTACGGCGCGTTACGCGTCGATCAATGCCCACCTCGGGATCGAGCAGTCGCGGCGCGACGACATGGAGTCGCTCGGCTACGTACTTATGTATTTCAACAGGTGAGTGGCAACTTTATTATAGTCATGCCTTTTTGGAAATAGAAATCTAGGATCATAGCCATTAGATTGGCACAGGATAGTGAAATTAAAAAACTGAAAACTCTTATTACTCCGTTTAGAATATGAATACGTATTTTTAGTTATCGACGCGTGACTAATTTACAATAGTTATTGAAGCAAATAATTTGCAATCGGATGTGATTAAAACGATCGCCTTTATCAGTGGTTATTCATTTCTTATTTGCTTAATAAGACAACAAAGTTCCCACTCCTGTTCACTTTTCGGGCGTTGAACTGAATTACGATAAGTGGGGTTAAAATTATAATCCTATTTAAAAAAAACAATATTATCTATGACAAAAAAGCCGTGGGTAGCCTATATGGTTTTACCTACCGCTACTCAAGCAGGGATTCCCACATCTGAGTTTCTCGGTGTTAATGTGCGAAATTTAATTTGAATAATATCAAAGCTTTTCGATGAAGGAAAACATCGTGATGAAACCTGCTCGTCGAAGAAGGTTCACTATCCTCAGAAATCGTGTGAAGTCCTCAACCCGCATTGGACTGTGATGCGGACTATTACCGAGTCTCCTCTCAGGCGAATGGGGAGAGGAGACCCTTGCCCAGCAGAGGGACGTATAAATGCGTTGATGATGATCCTGCGACCTAAAACCTTCTGTGACTGTCAGATTTTGTTACTAAAGGAGTGGAATAAACATTTCTTCAGACTTATTTCTTATAAAGCGTTTAAAACGTTTACGTTTAGTTCAGAAAAAATTTCGCAAGGGCTCCGAAGTGGGATGTATAAATGCGTTGATGATGATCCTATGACCTAAAACCTACCGTGACTGTCTGATTTTTTACTAAAGAAATGGAATAAACATTCCTTCAGACTTATTCTTTATAAAGCGTTTAAAACGTGTACGCTTAGTTCAGAAACAATTTCGCAACGGCTCCGAAGTGGGACGTATAAATGCGTTGATGATGATGATCCTATGACCTAAAACCTATCGTGACTGTCTGATTTTCTTACTGCAAATTTAAATGGAAGAAGTGGATTGAATAAACATTCCATCAGACTTATTTCTTATAAAGCGTTTAAAACGTTTACGTTTAATTCAGAAACAATTTCGCAAAGGCTCCCGAGGTACAGCTTACCTAACAAGTTATGTTACGTCGCATTTAATTGTTTCGACAATGACTCATGAAAACAAATGACTCATGTAATAACTCTGTTGATTATGCCGTGTGACGACAACAAGTTCGAGGAAGTTTATGAAAGGCATTCGATATGAAATCGTAATACGTTTTTATAAATACACAGACTTGGAACAAACATTTAATAGTATTTTATGCAATCGTTGCATAATAAATATAAGTATATATGATAAATATATAAATAATGGTTCCTAAAGTCGAGTAATAGGTACACGAGATTTAAAGATCTCGTTACATAATTGTAATGATTGCATATAATAATACTTTATCTACGAGTAAATAAAATAATAAAATACAACCAATGTATATTTTGTTAATAATCTATGACAACAATCTCAAACGAAAGCCAAACAAACGCTACAACACAATTGAATAGAACTGGCCAAGTACTTGTACATATATTTTAACCATTGACCTACTAACAAATCGACGTAGGGTTCGCGCTAAAAAGTGTCCGCACCTATAGGGCGTTAAAATCGCACACAGAGCGTCAATAGCTCAACAGTCTTCGTTTGTTCGACTGACAGCGCGGTTGTCAATCATGCAGTACTATATAATAATAACTTTAAAAATTACTGCAGTAAAGTGTAAAAACAGGATTTTGTATCATATTTTCACTAAACAAATATATTGTGTTATCATAGTTATCATTGAAAAGTATTGTTTTGTACAGTTGTATAGTATTTAATTTATATATAAAGTCTTTTTTTCTACACATTGCATACGCAAAAAAAAAGGAAAAGAGACCCATTACGTCAAATTCAAGAAGCTTATATAATCTTCTTGGTCGTTTTCAATTGTTCGAGTCATAAGCGATTGAAATATTTGGAACAAAGAAACTATAGAGTCGTGTTGATTTTAATCTTATTTTTAAAATGACTTTTTATTAAACGTTAGCATCAGGTAACAAAATATTGTGGTACTCGTTTTACGGTTTGGGATTACCTATCAGAAATCAGAAAATACATTTGCCCGAAATAACGTTAGCTCGAATTTTCATAATGTCAAATGTATTTTTTTAAGAATAATACAAAACAAAAGCTAATTTTGGCTTTGTGAGCATCAAAATTACATGAAAGCGTAATGGTTTTATTATAAATCGGTTTTCGGAATTACGGATATTGGAGTTTACGTTTAGTTAGAATATCGGTACGTTTATTATAGTACACGCTTATTTTCACATTTGTAATATTTATATGTATGTATCTGCCCAACTGTTTATAATTTTTTGAAGTGAATTTGTACAAAATTCAACATAATAATATACATAAAAAAATAATTGATATGTACAATAAAGGCTGCTGTGAAGCCAAATATGTGCATTTTGTTAAGCTTCCAGTAGAAGCTGAATATGGTGTTTGTGGGCCTTTTAAATTGTTGCAAGCTAAATTAGTCAGTACTCCAATTACATTACAATTTAAATGAAATATTTTAGTTTTTTATATTTCGTTACATGTCACTACGTTTGTATAGGTTAACTTCGGACATTTTTTTTCGTGGTTTTTGTATTAGACCCGACGTCCATTTGTTGGGTAGATCAATGATTTTAACCAATCATTTTTTATAAAGGTTTATTATTCTGGCTGCAAGACCTTTAGACCATTTGAACCAATCAGTGGGCAGTAAAGCTTATGAGTAGCGTCACATTTGATATTTTAATTACCAAAAATACGACGTTCTTTTTAACGTAGCCGTTATGAAATTTTTCAGTTCAGTAGCGAGTACCATAGACAGCAGAATTTTGATTCATGACTAAAAAGAGCGCCTTTGTGAAATTAGAATTAGTACAGGAGTAGAAAAAAATGTAAATCGCATTCGCATTTGGACCTACCTACCTACCTACGGTACCAAATCGTTAGTTTAAGTGATTACGTAACAATAAAATCAATATAAAAACTTTTAAAATTATAAAATAAACGAAATAATGAAAATATGCTATGTTCAGAGCTTCTATTTTTGCAATGTCCCTCGGCAAAATGCGTGTTTCGGCTGTCGTCGGGTTTTATTCAGTTGCCCTTTGTTTGCCTTTGGTACAGACTGGACGTTTTCGGTCGACTTGGAAATATATAGAGCTACTACATTTTTAATTTATTATCGCCGCTAAATTCACAGGCATGAAAGATCATTTACAGTGTGCATTTCAATACAAGTGCACGCTGTAAATTATCTGTCATATTATATATTTTACAAGAAGCCGATACGTTCAAGAAAGACAACAATGGTTATTTTCAAAAAGTCCAAAAACGTGTTTCTGTGGCTTGCGGTGTTTGAATCGGAACAGTAAAGAATATTTGTAAAAGAAGATAAGAAAGATAAAACAGTTCCTTTTCCTTTCCTTTATATTTTTGTTAACTTGCTTATTGACATGGAGTAAATTAATATATTAAAAATAGGTAAATAGTTTTACAGCTCTACAGTTCACACGGAAATCAAAACAAAACAACGATAAAGTACGTTGTTCAAAATTCAAATTATTATAGATTTTAAATCTAATACGTAATGGATATGGAAATTATTATTCGTGTGCATTTGGAAATCCGATTATTGCCGAGGGACATTGAGAAAATAAAAGCACTGTACTATGAGTCCGTTAAGACGTAAGACGATTGCGACACAATCTCCATAACACATAATAGCATACAAATCGGATTTAATTGATTTTCATGGAAACTGTTTTCAGACAGTGTCAAACGAAATTTTCGAAATTTGTAAATAACATGCGATGTTTTTTCACAGAGGGTCGCTGCCATGGCAAGGGCTGAAAGCCATCACCAAAAAGCAAAAATATGAGCGCATCAGTGAGAAAAAGATGTCCACGCCAGTAGAGGTGCTCTGTAAGGTAAATATCATTAGTGCTGAACATTTATCGATTCTCGCCCCATCTAGAAACACCAATTTGGTATATGCCTAGTATTGTATGGACTCTACAAGGTGCTTTTCAGAGGCAGAGGGTAACACTATGCATGCAGCAATACGGTTCAATATTACATCAACAAATGTTTGAATTCTGGTCACGCATATCTTCAATCCAGACCATTTCCACTGAAGTTACGCTAGGAGAGAATTGAAATTTTGGCGAGACAGGAAAATGTGACTTTATAGTGGTCAATATACGTACATGTTATATTGACTTACATACACGTTATTCTTTCTATAGGCACGTTTATGCTAACACGATAGGGTTATATGAGTCATGTTATTTTTATTTCTCATAATTATGCTTAACATATGACCTTAACTTATAAACAAATAAACTAAGTCAATTAAATGCACATTATTACGGAAGACATTCTACGTATATGCTTAGTTATATTCGTGTATGTAATGTTATGTTTGTTGTAGGGATACCCGGCGGAGTTTGCGATGTATCTAAACTATTGCCGCGGCCTTACCTTCGACGAGGCGCCCGACTACATGTACCTCAGACAGGTGAGCTCCCTTTGTTTCTTGCGCTTTCAATTTAACGCGTCAATCCAATCCAAAACTGTGCGGGTAAAAACCGTGTTTGGCACTCATTATTTTGGCGTAAGTTTTGTGACGGTATTAATATACATATATAATAACAGCAATGTTATGTCTGTATCTGATGATGAACTTGAGTGATAATAAAAAGATGGCCTAAACGCCAAACAAAAAATGTAACTAAAATGCCACTGTAATGTTAACGTGTGATATTTGTTTGCAGTTGTTCCGCATCCTGTTCCGTACGATGAACTATCAGTACGACTACACGTTCGACTGGACGATCTTGCGGCAGCGCAAGCAGCATATGGAGGCGGGCGCGGCGCCGCCCGACCGCCGCTCGCCCTCCGTGCAGCGCCGCGCACAGCAGCCGCCGCCGCAGCCACCACCCAACAACGAGGTGCGTGCACTTTTCGTACCTCGATGACTTCCTTGACCGTCACCAGTGGTCTTCGCCGTTAGTACTAGACTGGCGTGACATGGGCTCTTTCTGTAGATTTGTAATCAAATATATAGTCTGCTCCAATCCATTTTAACCGAAATGTAAACAAAATGGTTTGGTTGAATTTTTAAAGTAATCACTCAATAAATCGAATAAGTAACACTTCACGTATATTTCGAAGATTTTGACTTGATATCTCATCACTTTTTCCAACAATATTCATTTGAATAACATCGTTACTATTTGAAAAATGGTAATCACAAAGTGAGGTTATTTTTTAATTTAAAGATGTATGAATAGTCTATGGTTGCATAGTGCTGTACGGACAAAAATGTTCAGTTCATTCAATTAGTTTTTGTAATCGATTAGTAAATCGAAAACTTCAATCGTAATCGAACGAGTATGTAAGTGTAAGGATTTGAAGGAGGATTTAAAATTAAGATTACGGAAATTTTAAATATGCTTTTATGGTTATGTAATGAAATCGATTCATTCAATTAATTAATTGATTTGTAGTTGGCAGTAAAATTGGCCATCACTAAACCGTCTATGGTCGGATCAGTGACTGTTTGTTTACTTTTTGTTTAAAATGGATTGAAACGAAGTATAATTAAAAACGATGGGTTTCACCTTTTTCGCCCCGCAGAGACGAATTTAGTATTTTCGTACGGATCTGGTTTTATACTCCACCATAACGATGCTGTCATTTAAGCGTTGTAGTACATGTTCGTAGAACTAACAGAGATGTTCGCCATAAGTTCAATAAAATACTTGAAAAACAGTCCAATGACAGTATAATGATACTTACGGCTAAGTTTGGTAGGAAAGCTATACAATATCCCAAACGAATTCCTATACGCTCCTCATCCTAATGCTCCCGACATCGATAGGTGAAGTCCGTGCATGCAACGAACGAATCCCCAGCGAACAAGCCCACGGTCAAACCTCACCAGTCAGTCGGCCAGATCAAGAAAAAACTGACGGCTATGTAACATCGTCTATACGATCCAACTGGCTTCTGATTACATTACATTTGCACTCCAAGACGATTAAGACACATTTATCGACGGTTAGCTATTGTTTAAGCGCATTTATGTAGGTAAGCATTCACTGTTAAAATGCTGAAGAAATCGAATGCCGTCCTATACATGATGACATAACGCCTTTCTGAAGCTTGCCGAAGTGTTTTTAAGACCCTAACAGCTTGCAGAAATGTTGTAAAACATGTTTGAGAAAGCAAATGGTATTGTAACCATTAGTCAGTTCGATAAATCTAGACTTAGTATTTGTACGGACTATACCGCTGTTAGGACGGAAATGCACCTTACGCTGCGTCACACGACCTACTTTAAAATTTCTAGACATTCTTATAACATCCGTCACTTTTCACTGTATTTTGTAAGAGCCATAAATAATAAAATAATCTGCCATATAGTAGTTAATTCTCAAACGTTTGCTTGGCAAAGTCAATTATACCGATAGGTACGGTTTATTGTATTCTTTATAAATATGTCGGGTTTTATACGTGACAAAAAAAATATAAATGAAATATTGCTGATTTTATTATTACAATACGTGTTTTTACTTAGAAATATTAAAGCAGGTCATCGTAAACGTGTAGTTAAAATTTGTCGTAAGTCGTTATTTTTATTGGAATAATTCGTAAGGACTGTCTCGAGCAAGCAACAAGAAACTTAATATTTACTTTCTAATATTAATGATTTGTATATATCGTTACGGTTATATCTTTTTATTCCATCGACGCAGATTCATCAACCCATACCTCAGCGGTTAGAAGAATCTTTTACGAAAATTTTGATCGTCCGTTTTCCCTTGGTTTTGTTTTTGGAAGAGCATATTTTTGAATTAAAAGTCAAAGTAACCATTGAATATTTTCACACAAAATATATCAAGTTTTGCATCATGATAGTGCAACAATTACCTGAGCATTTATTTGCCCACAATGCATGATATCTCCAGCATTCTAAAAAAATGCAAATACACACTAACATTTCCTAAAAATAAAAAACGAGATTTATACTTTTGCGTATGTTTGAAGTTTGTACATCTGTTTTGTCTGCTCTTGCCCCTCGAAAATGTATTTATTTATAAGGTTTTTATTTATAATTTCACGACGATTGAGGTGCAATTTCTGGTCTGATAGTCCAAAATTTTCGTGAGTTTTGACACGTTGTAACTAAAATATGCTGGTTGATATTGCAGTTCCATATTAGTTATCAAATTACAAAAATGTGTTGTCTGGAGTAAACTTACAAATTAGCAGGTGGCAATCATTAGCATTTATCATTATAGTTTTTTTTTTACTGTGATGGGATGTTAGTCGGTGCGGTCATGAGTGTGTTTGCGTGTGTGTTCTCTATGTAAATTTTTACTTAATAAGGTTTAAAGACGTAAATGATAAAATATAGTACGTTTTGTTAATTTGCATATCAAATTAGGGGATAGGGGTTTAGAGGTGTTGATATAGTTTTTTCATTTTTAAATATGTTTTTCGCTACCTATCTGATATTATTATATTTGTAATAATTAAAAAACTGAATAAATTATAAAATGAGTGCTGTTACTCTAAAAATATTGTATCGTTTGAAATAAGCTGCACTTGAGAGGGTAATGTGGCGATGTGAATTTTGTATAAATTAATTAAAAGCCTTGCAAGTATTGAACTGTATTATTTGCGCAATTAATGAGGAGAATGCAGCACCGGTGCAACGGTAATTTTGTTTATGGAAATTATAGCCCATTCATTGTATTATCTACTTACATCTCTTATTGTATATGTGTATTTCACTTTATTTTATAACAAGGATACATTATTTTAGCTATGATTTAAATAGTTATTTTCATAGGAAACCTAAGAACTCGATAGTTATTTTCATTTAGTTATCGTACTTTTATCTTAGAAGTTACTTCCACCCTTCGACTTGTTCGTTTATATAATTATTTCGATATTAGTGTAGGAATTGCACTTAAGTACTTACGTTTCGAAGGTTACCGTTGTCATTATAAACTTGTCATATGATAGTAGCCCGATTGATGTTTCAGATGTTATCAAAATAAGGAGTAATAAACGTTTGAATCTCTTTTGCAGTGAAAGAGATTACGACGTTCGACAGCGGCGGGCGGGCCGGCCAAGAAGAAGGCCCGATAGCAGCGGCCGCCGGCGTCAGCGTCTCTCGCCAAACTGCGGGCCACCGGGTTTTTGTATAGCATTGGAGAAACTCACTCTACGCGCCAGTGGAAGGCTAGCAATTTTATACTAGCGTTAACTGAATGAAGGCCGGGATCGTAACAAGTGGAAACTCTTCTGGTGACGAATTCTACTAGTAAACAGACTTGTAAACTGATTTGACATTTAAAGATACCAACTTCCTGTGGGATTTGTAATTATTATAATTAACTTTTGCTTGCGTTTACTAGGAAAGAGTTTCAATAACGATTGGGTCAAGTAATTTTTCTGAGTTGATTATCACGCTTCCAACTGTATTTATTAAATTATAAAGACAATTAAACAACGAAATCTTTGTTAAAATTCCTCGAATTCTCCATTATAGATTAGGGTGAGTTTCCAACGAGTGTTATACAGAGTGGACTTATTTCGCCATCGCAGTGTGAATCAGGTCTAAAGGACTAGCTTTTCTTTGTATTACAGAGGCCTCTAAGTTTAATCGCGTGAATTTAACACGGCAGCCGTAGTGGTTGATTGCCACGTAACTTTGGTGACCGACCAACTTTGTGTGATGAACGAATACACGTTACAAGTGTTTGTTTATTGTGTAATACAAAACCGCATTTTGAGTAAAACTTTAATATAACTCTGACTTTTAAATTTTGGAACGATTCAGTTGTAGGTTCTCAATGTTTCATTAGTTTCGATGTTAGTTTTCTCCTAATTAGCTAGTGTTTACATTCAATTTTATTGATAATATAGTATGAGGGCGTTCAGTGGCTTTGTGTAAATATACAAAACAGCGGCTAGAGCGTTCTCGACCGCAACTCGACGCGATGTAACACAAAATTGGCTAAAAACGTTCATTAAAATTACTGATAAAACTAATTATAAATAGGTTTCTGTATTAAAAAAGGAAAAATTTAAAAATTGCGAAAAAAAAGAATAGAAATAAGAGAAACTGGTTCCGATCTATGGAGAGCACCGACCGCGACTCCGACTGTAGTTAAGGCTTAATTCTTATATTTACGATTATTTTTAATTTGGCAAATGATATATGAAATTGTACATAAAATTATCGCGGTCTGTGCTCTCCATAGAAACGAGGTACATACATATGTATCGGTATATTTTAAAATAATTGTAAATATGAGACAGTGTTCATTTTAACTGTTATTTTTTTAAGAACACGCTAATATTTTCGTTTGTCTGTACGCAACGAGAGCCGGGGGGTCCGTTGTTCTCTGTATCATGTCATCAGCCGTACGTCATTAACTTATGTGTGAATTGAAGCTACGATTCGTTGTAGGATAGCTCATTACGTCATACTCGTGCACTAACCGGGGAGGGCGGGCCCACCGGCGACCGTTCTAATGTAAGTGAATATACAATAAGAAATTAACGTGTACATGAAAGTATAGAATGATTGAGAGTGAGCCAGTGATCAAATGGGGACAAAATACAACACAACTAATGAATGGACAAAGCCCAATGGTTAATACGATCGAAATTAGCTTTTCTTCTTGTGATATAATGGATCTCAATATTCCTATAAAACTCATGATGTTAGATAATGCTCTTGGTTTTCCGTGAACGTTGAAATTGTAAGACAATAGATATTTTGTCTCCAATTGAGTGAGTAAACTCATTGTACTGCACTTTAATTATAAATTAATAAAGAATAATAAACGAGTCTTGCTTTGTTTTATTCATAGTCCGAGGGGATTTTATGATTTTGATCCTATGCTACCTAGGCGGAGCGGTCTTATTTTACTTCTTTTATTTCATGACCTATACATTTGCAAAATTTTCTAAATTACTATTTTTCCCCATTAAGTTAAATAAGTGAAATAAAAACAATATCCAAGTCCATTATCCTTATATAAAAAAAACTAAACAACTAAACCACAGACCACATAAATACTAGTATTAGACTAGTTAGTGGGCAGGTCCGCGTCGTTACCAAGGTTATCACCAAACGGGCATATGAGTGTCAACAGATAGACTAGTTAGTGGGCGGGTCCGCATCGTTACCAAGGTTATGACCAAACGGGCATATGAGTGTCAACAGCGCGTCTCGGTCGTCGTTCAGATGTGATACATGATTATTTTGTGGAACAAATAGAAATATGCCATTATATTATGTCGCGTAAGAAGCCAAAGTTTAAAAAAAACTGTGGGAGTGATTTCCTTCCATCGGTAAGTAATAAAAGTCTGTATTTTCTAATATTTTGAACAATACAATACTAAATTTCGAAACAAAACTATTTTCTTGTAATTCGGTAATAACAATATATGTATATTGGTTGCTAGCCATCGCCGCCGTCAAAAGAACAATTCGAATGACGCTCAATGACTTTCTTGCACTAGTGTCGTATTACACTAGAAACTGTATTTAGAAACTCGGTTTTGGTTTACTTCAACTTTTTTTTATTATAGCGGTACCAATGTGTAAACATAAGTTGTTTACAGGTATTTAAAAGCTAACAATTTTGATTACTTATATGTTTGGTCCCAACACTCGCAATAGTATTTATTTTTAATATTTTTAAATTTAAGTAAAAACGATGTATTAATGAAAAAAAAAGGAAATATAGATAGAAGAGGTACAGTGTCGATAATTTTACAATACACGTAAGTTTGTGGAGTATCAAATGAAGACTATGAGATTGGAGATTTTCTTTCCCTTGTCTACATGATTATACGTCGCCTTCGTCCGCTTGAGTTCTAGTTTTATCACAGGCATGATTTACATTTGGTGCGCGAGGACGCGGCGGACGCGCACCCGCTTCGGCGCAGACGTACGGGGAGAAGGCGAAGGCAGTTCGCTGCTCGCCTGATCCCCTAGTGCGGCCAGCGGGCTCTGGGCAGGGACTCCGGAGCCTGTATTGCACGGCCTCCCTCGTCTGGGGGGCGGGTCGGAGGACAACTGACCTGCCCCTCACTTGGTGCGGGAGCCAGGGCGGCCGGGCGGCGTCGTGGTGAATGTGCACCGGCCCCACGGCGCCGACTCAACCGGCGTGAGGTAAACCCGGGGGGGTTTTAGTGGAGTAGCCCTCCAGTCTGGAGGGAGAGTCCCCACATAACCCCTGAGTCTCCCTGGGCTATAAATATTTCCTTCCCGTAAAAAAGGCATGATTTACATTTGCAGCTTTTGCATTGATTTTTTTAGTTTCCCGTCGGATCCTTTTTAAAGGAGAAATGGGCTGAAGGAACAGGCAGTAAAAGCTGGGTACCTACTAAATGTAGCACCATTTGCTATAGGCATTTCATGACATCACATTAAATTATGTACATATGAATAACAACCGAAAAATTCATTAAGAAATAAATCATTTGGTTAATCAGGTAATATATGACATGAAACTCGGAGTCGCATTC